TGCACAGTATAAAAAAAAAAATCCTACGACACATGGTGAATGATGAGAAAAGCAAAACTGTGTGTGCTTGGTTTAAAATAGTGGACGAGTTGCTTTCTAGGATAGTTTTTATGGTTTTATTGAATGTTTCATGGTATCATTTGACAGAATGGAAGACACTAATGATATATAGTTTCAGGATTGGAATTAGCTGAAAACTGGGCTCAAGGTAGTGGAAATGTTATATTTTGCCAAACTCTCCTGAAGATGGGTAAGGCCTCCCTACACCCCTGTTCTGTTTTATGGGTTTTTAATAGGTCTGATTCAATTATTGTGATGCTGTAAACCATAACCAATCATTCCTGGTTGTATTTTACCTGGAAACTAGAAAAAGAATCTTCTATTTTTGTGATACTGAATTTAAAATGGAAGGCAAGAGTAATACAGGAGGTTTGGGGACACGATTAATAAGCAAAAATGTTTTCCATTAAATTGGTATTTTTCAATTTTGTGTAAAATTGGTCAAATTACCAAATTCTGTGCACTTACTGAGTAACAGTAATAGATGAATGGGCAATTTCTTGTGTTCCTCATTATAACACAAGGTATGCTAACAAAATAGCTAAGAATGTAGTCGAATGGAGCAATGAAATTGACCTAAGAAAGGGCTCAAAATCAGTGAAATTACCAATGCATAAATTGTGCCCAGACCGCTAACTTTGCACTTGTATAATTCCGTAGGACCTCCATCTGATTTTGTACATCTGGTATCATTACCTTCAGAAAAAGATTATCATTGCAACAATATTAATTTCGGAAACTGGGAGAAATATTAATTTCGGAGGTTTGGATAGTAAAATGGTTAATGTACTAACAGGGTGAAGAGGGTGCTTATAAGCAATGCTTAGTGTCCATGACTAAAAATAATAGATAATTCTAAAAGCATCAGACTAAATTCAATTTTCCCAGCATATCATAACAAAAGCAAATAATTCTGGAAACAAAAGACTGCTTCAGGAGATTATGCAAACTGTACTTAGTCCATTAAATCTGAAATCCATTAAATGGAGGTTTTTACCACTATACTTAAAAAAAAATATCATTGCTTATGTTAAAAGTTCAGATATAACCATGTTAATAATAGACCCTATGGAAGACTGGAAACCTTTGAGACAATATTTTATGTGGAGATTAAGTTTTTCATGTCGAGAGAGAGACACTTTCCTGACTATATATAGATTATATATAGTCAGGAAAGATGTGACACAGAGGTAACACACCCTGCATATCTTTAATCTATTTTGTTTAATTTTAATCTATATTTAAAAGAAGTTATACAAATTCATATATGGGAGTAAAAGCACGAGGCCAGAATAATGTTCTGGTGCCAGAAGTGAGGTGTAGCAGATAGAGATACCATCACAGGTGTGTAGGGCCCAATTGCATGTTAACCAGTGGTTAGCAAAAGGTTGGCAAAGACATCCTTTGTATCAAGATGATCAGTCGTTATGTCAGACATCTTGGTACAGCTGTATTCTTGAACTTTAGACTTATTTTTGATGAGTAAGAAGCATGTTAAACAATTGGGTATCTTTAATGCTGAAAAGTTTTGCCTACACAGTAAGCTTCAGTCAAATAGAGGCAGCAGGTGTAGTAGTGAAATAAAGATGCACTCAGTCATCAACTTGTCAGTATTTCGTACCATTTTCAACATGATCTACTTTTACTAGAGGGTCCTGCTCACCTGTGTTATCTGCAGCAGCTATGTCTCACTTCTAGCTTCAATATGTAAGTCTGCTTTAGTCTAGGGGAGTGATCACCTAAAAATTTTCTGTCTCTAGCAATATAACCGCATATATTCGACCCAAGAATTCTGTTGCATAGGTGAAAAGTTTCGGTACCTTGGTGTTGCACGTCTCGCTCATCGAGGTATTATATACCTTCAAGTTAATATATTAAAAAAAATTATTTCTCGACAGAGGTTCTTTCTTTTAACAATCTTTGGGTCATCGGCGGTGTGGGGCTATGCCAGTCTATATATGACAATCACAAGGTCAAAACATACACTTATTATAATAACTGTTGTTAAGTCAGCAGAAGTATTTACCAGGCTGGATTGATCACAGTCAAGATGCCAGCCTGCGCCTCACACCAATGTTCACTCGCCTATATTACCTTACTCTTCTACTTGGTCTAGGAATTTGACCTATTTTTTTATAATCTAAACTACACGTATGCGGAATAAATTTATACACTCCAAAAAAGTCTGCTGTGCTAAGCTATAGTTATGCCAAAACTAATTTTAGGAACAGTTGAGTGGATTAAGGCGGCCATGTTGAGCAGACGCCGCCACTCCCCCAGTCACTCCACTTATCTGCCTCTTACTGCCAGGCAACTTTCCCTTCCCTCAATACCATTCCCCCCTCACCTACCAGTCCTGCAACTATTTACTTACGCGGAAGAAGCCTGCATCTGCCATAATAAGGCAGTTAATCTTTCAGGAGACGACGAGAGCGTACAGCCCTTTCCTCTGCGGCATCCGTGGTTAAACTGTTGGGAGGGGAAACTATGCTGCTTTCTGCCGCACAGACAAACCTTGGTTGTTAGCGCCACCTACCCTGATGCTGCCTCTTGTGTAATGACGAACATGGTGGGGTAGTGATGGGAGAAAAGTTCTTACTTCAGAGACGCGATAGCAGTGTTTTTTTACTCTTCAGGAAACATTCAATAAGGTGTCCCCGACGCAGATCTCATCCGGAAATAGACAGAACAGTCTCCTGACACCCCAATGGAAAATAAGTCACTCTGGGTGAGTTTTTGGGGTTACCAAGGTTACACATGTGCTGCTATGTATAATCTATGTAACTGTATTTGAGTTATACCTGAATAAACTTACTTATTCTTATCATGGAACATACAGTATATCGATGGTATAAACCTTGGTAATAAATACCGACAAGTTGGTTTAGAAAGACACGTAAGCAAAAAATATAACATATTTACTAGAAAACGTTTCGGTCCTGGGACCTTGATCAAGGTCCCAGGACCGAAACGTTTTCTAATAAATATGTTATTGTGTTTGCTTACGTGTCTTTCTAAACCAACAGTATATCGATAAATTAGACACATGTGCAACTCTTGGGTATCTTTAATGAGGAAAAGTTAAGCCACACAGTGGATTCATCAGTTCATAAAAGGAGAATGGGGGAAAAGGAACAGGAGGAGTTTTAAAGGTAATCAGTCCCTCAGCCTTGAGTCGATGTAGTCATTCATCAATCTTGAAAAGTATACATCATATGTGCGAAGAAGAGTAGCTTATATACTGTAGGCAGGAGAGGTGCAGCAGTCGTAGGTGGTATCAATTTGTCCAGTGTGGAAGTAAGATAAGATAAGATAAGATAAGATTTCGTTCGGATTTTTAACCCGGAGGGTAGCCACCCAGGATAACCCAAGAAAGTCAGTGCGTCATCGAGGACTGTCTAACTTATTTCCATTGGGGGGCCTTAATCTTGTCCCCCAGAATGCGACCCACACCAGTCGACTAACACCCGGTATTATTTGCTGCTAGTGGGGAAAAGGACAACAGGTGTAAGG